CCTGGCTCAGTCCAGATGGTCTCTGATTCCAGAGTTGTTTTTCCTGTTGAAATCATGTGGTTGCTCCATCATTAGGAAAAGAAAAACAATAAAAGGGAGTAGGTTCTCGTGATTGCCGTAGAAGCTGCAAATGTGGAGCGTTTCTGTGCCAGCTGGAGAGAAGAAGGGTCTGGGGAAGGCCCTGGCCAAGTCCCGGCGCGCCCGGGCGTCAGGACTGCTGATTAACCTCGGACTGAGGCCTGAGGAGCTGTGCGAAGGCCTCCGTGTGGGACTGGGGACTGGGATGTGGATGGCAAGCGGTGGGCAGCTTAAAGCAATGCTGTGCTTTCAGGAGAGCACAGCTTCCTCCGATAACAGTACTATTTTATTATTATTTTTTAATCCCTTTTCATTCCCTGAACCATTACTTGAGTGTCTTCTAAGTGCCAGGCATCGTACTATTGTCTCATGTAACCATCAAAATCACCCCTTGAGGCTGGTATAACCCTCTCTTTTGCAGGTGATAAAATAAGCTGAGTTACTGGGTTTGAAGGCCAAACAGCTGTTGGCCGTCAGAGTTGGGATTGAGACAGAGGCTGTCCCGGATCCGCAGCCCACGGTGGTTCACTCTCATACCTTCTCCCACCCAGGGGGACGCGGCCATGGGGCTGCAGCTCCTTCTAGTTAAAGACTGGATTGTTAGTCTGTGTGTTTTTTCCCTCCTAGCATTGAGAGGCCCCATGTGCCTAACCCGCCCCCACCCCCACTCTCTTCATCCTCTGACAAGGGAGGATACCAGCCACACCATGAAATCCAGGTCTATATTCGCCTGCAAACTGTAAGAGTTTAAAATCATCCCTCTCATTCCCTGTCACCTTTCCATCAAAGACACATTTATTGGGGACGTCCGGAAATACACAGATGGGTAAAAAGAAGAGAAGTTCTGTTTGAGAGATGGGAGAGTGGAAGAAGGAACTCTTGGCAGTGGAGAACACGTGGTGGCTTTACGGGTCAAAAAAGAGGAATTTCAGGCAAAGGGAACATCACAGGTAAGGGGGCAAAGATTCATCTCTGTGCTCTTTTATTTTTCTTCCAATGCCGGCCCCTTCAGATAAAAGCTCACTGGGATTTTGAAGAACAAACTTGATTTTTAATTTTAAATGAATTCAGAATAATTATATTAATAGTACTTAACAATTCTTAACAGTCTGTGCTAGGCGCTGTCCTACTCACTTGATGTACATGATCTCATCCACACCTTGCAAGAACCCATTTCAGAGAGGGAAAAACTGAGGCACAGGGAGGCTAAGTATCTTGCTAAGGGGTCTCACAACAATTAGGTGACTGGACCAGGATTCAAACCCAGGCTGCCTGACTCCCACGTCTGTGCCCTTCCCTACCTGCTCTGTCATCTCTCACGTGTCAGAAACTCTAACGTACCACGGTATCCTCTGGCAATCTCACTTTGAAAATGGTTTCTTATCACTGGTTCCTAGCGCTGAGAGGGGCTGAGACCCAGGAGACCTGTACCTCTGCTACAGATATCTGTGTAGGAAACTCATAATAATAAACATGTTATTTATTAAGTGCCTGCTATGAGCCAGGCACAGAGTTAAGTTCTTCATAGACATCCCCTCATTCATTGCCCACCAGCTCCTCTGAAGTAGGTGTATTATTGTCCCACTTTATAAATAAGGAACTGGGACTCGGAAACTGACCCAGGTCAAATGGCAGGGAGCTGGCAGAGCTGGTGTCCACCGCAGGCCTCCTGAAATCAGAGCTCTGCCTCCCAACGACACTCCTGCGGGGCCTCTTTATCTTGGATGTCATTTCTCTTTCTTCTTTAGTTTTCTGATCTGTCAAATGGGACTAACAAACACAACTAATTTCTGTGTGTAATTGTGTAGATTTACAAAGAATTCTCAGGTGCCTGATCTCATTGGAATCTCACAGCAACCTGAGGAAGGTAGAGTAGCACATCTTCCAACCAGGTCTTCTCTGGCTTCTCCTCAGTGCATCCCCAGAATGTGATCTCTCTCAATGGGGAGGGCAGGAGGGACCAGAAGGTGGTCTCAGTCACACAGGAATGCCCATCCCTCCTCTCCAGAGCTGACGACCGACCCGGGAGAGCATGATGTCACTGCACTGGTCCGTGGAAAGGGAGGAAGGATGTCAACCAGAAGAGCCTGTCGGCACTGTGGGGCCACGGGCTGGAAAGGCCTGGCGGTGAACGGGCATGAGCACCTGGCGGTGGGCTGGGACGGCTGCCTTGAGGGCCAGGACGGAATAGAGAATTTCTGCCCGGGCCTCCTCATCTGCCCCTTGCTCTGTGCTTTTTGCGAACCTGCCGACACATCTAAGCCACACTCGGTAGGACAACTTGTGTGCCTCCTCACGTGGCTCTAAGCTGCTCAGTGACCCTGTCTTTTTTTTTTTTTTTTTTTAATCCACAAAATGTTGTGGCACAAAGTATTTATTTTACAATGAATGAATTTTTCTGTGGGGACACCACATTACAGGAAAACACTTAGAATGTCACTACGTTCTACCAGTTCAAGTTCAATGAAAGTTCAGGCCATGGGAGGGAAAGATCAACATGAACTAGAAGGTGCACTAAAGGAGTTAAGGACAGTAAAAGACTTGAGCTGGAAACAGGAAATCTAAATAAAGATTCAATATCACAGCAGCGTCTTACCAGCAAGATTTCCCACTCGGAAGCGTTTATATGGTGTGCGAGAGGGGACATTTGGAGGGGAGCAGGGAAGGAGTCAAGTCCTTGCAAGGAAATTCTCTTGTTTCTTCTTCTTTTCAGCCTTGTCAAGACCAGCCCTTTGGAATTTGGCTGACATCGTCTGCACTCCTTTTTCTTCTAAGAATTCCACAAAATGCTTGGTCTATAAATATTTGTGGAATGGGAGCACCTTGCCATAAAGACAAAACTAAACACTGTATTACTGACTGAAGTGCACTGAGTTCATAGAAAGGAGAAGCGTGGGAGCAGCGAGGTCCTCCTGAAGGACTTCTAGTGGACGCAGGCCTGAGCGGGGCTGCGGGCCGTAAAGACATCGACGGTCCCGCTCCTCCACGCTGCAGCATTTTTTCACGCTGCCGATTAAGATGGCTCTAGTCCTAACCCAGCAAAAGCTACTCTGCAGGTGGAGAACTCGCTGGCCACGTGCGACTGTTTAAACATAAGGACAATTTAAAATTCAGTTCTTCCATTGCACTAACTACATTTTGAGTGTTTAAGAGTCCCATGTGCCTAGTGGCTTCCATATGGAGTAGCTCAGATACAGAACATTGCCATCACCATGCACTCTTCAATGGGACAATACGAATCTAAGGAGGGACTCCCTCTGGGTTGCTGAAGGTGGGAGCGTGAGGGGAGACAAGGCAACTTGCAACTGCTTTGTATAGGTTCTCTTTCCCTTCATACTTCCATACTTTTAGCTACTACACTTTAGGATTTAACTAACGTGCCCTTCTTCAATGATGGCTTCCGTACTCTCAGAATACAGGCTGTATGCAATTTTTAAAACAATTCAGCAGGTTTGTTTTTTTTTTTAACAGTTCACTAAGTTGTGTAACCATAACCACAAGGTCATTCCACAACATTTGCTTCGCTCCAAAAGGAAACTCCATATCCATTAAACCAGTCACTGCCTGTTTTCTCCACACCCATCCTCTGGCAACCACCAACCTGCTTTCTGTCTTTAAGCACTTAGCTATTGTGGTTGTTTCAGCTAAATGGGATCATACTATATGCATCCTTTTGTGTCTGGCTTCTTTCACTAATCATAATATTTCCAAGGTTCATCCATATTGTAGCATGTATCAGTATTCATTCCTTTTTATGGCTGAATAATATTCCATTGTGTGGATATACCACATTTTATTTATCCATTCATCAGTGGATGGACCTTTGGGGTATTTACATTTTTCACCTATTCTGAATGATGCTGTTGTGAACACTTATGTATAAGTTAGTGTGGGGACAAAAGTTTTTAATTCTATTGAACATACACCTAGGAGGGGAATTATTCAGTTGTATGGTACCTCCATGTTTAACTGAGGAACAGTCAAACTTTTTTTTTCTAAATCGGTTGCACAATTTCATCTTGTGTACATTTAAGAGAGAGCTGATTAAGGCAGAATAACACATCTTCCAACCAGAGCTTATTTTTCTCTTTACCAGGCAGAGCCTGGGAGAAAACGTCTGGAGGACTAAAGATTGTGGAAGAAGAAATGGAAGGTGTGGACAATTTTAACTCCTTATAATCTCTCTTCACTCTAATTTGAACCTCTCTACTGCAGCATGGAGTGACTAAGTTTGTCTTCCAGATGAAAATCTCTCCATACTCAGAACTGATGTCGTTCGTCCACATTTTCCACGGGACATACGGACATCCTTATGGCTGCTCTTTCCTGTATTTGTGGATTAATGCATGTGAAGCACTTGGAAAATTGCCCGCGGCAAATAGTTTGCGCCAAGGACATGTTAGAGTTGTTGTTATCACCATCAACATCATTCAGCCTCACCTGAGTCCACAAACGCAATTTGGAACCCATTATTTACAAGCCACTGTCCTGCGTCCTACGCCTTTTAGAGTCAAAGTATCAAAATGAACAGGTAGTCAAAACCCCACGTGGGAATGAGGCCAGAGAAGCAACTATAGCCACCGTCTGGCATTGGCAAGCGGTGTGGGAGAGACTCCAAGGCGATCCCCACTCCCTGCCACCCCCGTGCTACTCGCAGGGATGCTTTCCTCTCCCCTCCTCGTCTGGACGGCGGCGCCAGCCGGCGCTAAGGGGTTCAGCGTCTGGATCCCGACCCACCGTGCAGCGGGTGCGAGCCTGCGGCGCCAGGGCACGGGGAGTAGGTCTCGCAGGCGCGGGGCGCACCCCACCGCCCGGGCCCTGGGCCGCCCAATGAGGGCGCGGCTTGGGCGCTGCAGCCAATCCGGAGCGGCGGGAGCAGCGCCCCGAGTGGCGAGCCAGCCGCGGCGCTGCGATCCGGAGCGAGCGCGGCGAAGAGCAGCGCGGGCCGGAGTGGATCCCCGGACCAGCCCAGCCGGCTTTGCCTCGGCGACCTTCCGGCAGAAACTCGGGACCCTGCGGGCGGCGTCACCGGTAACCGCGCCCAGCAAAGGGAGGGCGGGCGTGCCGGGGAGAAAGGGGCCCCGCAGGTGGAGCGGGCAGGGGGCGGGCCGGCCGCGAGGTCCTAGCGCCGCCCCTACTGCACGAGCCCCTCGCGCCTGTGCCTGCTTCGTCCCGAGTCCCCGGGAGGCGCGACATTTCCACACGCCGCGGGCGTCCAGGAGTGGGAGGAGGGGAGGTGAGTCTGTCTAAGGCGGGCGGGGGTGTGAGAAGACACCTGCGACCCTTGTACTCAGACACTATTTGCCAACGCGTGCCTTACCCAAGATCTGGGTCCCCAGGACGTTTTCGTTGTCCCAAGCGGGGAGACGACAACAAGTGGCCCTGGGGAGGGTGCCTACCTCCCCCCGCCCCCCAACGCCTGAAATCTCGGCCTTGGCTTTCCTCCCCACCTTTGGGGTGTTTGGAGACAGGACCCCAGCCAGGACTCTCAGGCGCGCTGCCCGCTGGACAGCGCCCAGAGGCGTCCTGGACCCGGCGGACCCCGGGTTTGGATGGAGTTTCCTCCGCGGGTTGCCAAGCAATTTGCCGGACACCCGCCTCTGGCTGGGATAAAGAGTTGAAGATGAGAGTGTGTTTGGGAGTGAGTGAGTGGGTGAGCGAGTGTGTACAGTGTGTACAGTGTGTGTGTGTGTGTGCGTGCGTGCGTGCGTGCGTGTTTGTGTGGCAGCTCTTACTAAAAGGAGCTGCCTGAAGGATGTGAGTGAATCATTAACTGTGGTCTTGGGCAGCTGCTGGCCCCTGCCTGTCTCTTTCCCCTAGGCAGGTCCTTCAGGCTCTCTGAGCCTCACTCTCCTGATCTGTAAGGCGGCAATGATTGCACCCGCCTGATAGCGTTGTTTTGAGGAGTAAATGAGGCAATGCCTGAAAAGCACAGAGCACTGCGCTAAATACTCAATTATTGCTGGCTCTTATTATTTACATACTATATGGAATGGATGGTCTTTTAAAGAGCAAATCAGAGGAGTCCAAACTGGCCCAGCGACCATTTGAAGCTCTGAATAGCTTTCTACACTTGAAGAGAAAACATGCTATTAATGTTTCTGATGGTATCATTCAAAGGTAATGTATCCCTTGAGGGGTAAAAACTTGCTCTATTAGAATAGTGAGATAAATGGATTCCAACTAGTGTCTTAGAAAACCTTTGTAACCCTTGAAAAAATTGGTATGAATGCTGCATGAAGAGAATATCGTAGTACTTTGTTGAGTGCTTGTCTTTCATTAGTATGGCTGATCTGGGGTTGGGGGGGATTGGAAGATTCTTCTACTTTCTTCTCCTCCCTTAAACAAACAAGTAAAGGAGGAAGAGAGAAAAAACAAAGCCCAACCACACAACAAAATGCCAGCAGCTCCTGGAAGTCTAAATTGCAGTTGCCACTTTAGGCGGGTTTTCACATGTCTGACCTGGGTGGTCTGGTTCAGTGCTTTGCCACTGTGTCACTTTCCTTTTCTTGTTTAACCTGAAGAGCAAATAAACATTTGGTGCCATTCGTTTTTCTTCTTAAAACCGGAAATATCAATATGTAGTGGACACTTGGAATTCTGAACCCTCTGCTACCTAGCCTCCTACCCTGTGACAGACCCAAAGGAACCTTCCTTCCCAAAGGCTCCTAGAGCCCTGGAAGTGGGAATCTCCTTGTCTTATCACGCCACACTGCCCCCATGGCTTGGAAAGGCACAAACTGGCCCTGTTCTCTAGGGTCTCTGGGACCTTTCCCAGGAGCCGTAAGAATAAAAACATCCACGGAGAGAAAGTGATTATCTTCTCAGGGGGTAGGAAGCCCACTTTCAGATGCAAATCTTTCAGGTGTCAAATTAATTCAACAGCCCTTTCAGTTGTTAAGACTTTTTTTACTCCTTTACTAGAGTGGGAGGATTGGAACGCTTGCTGTGGGAGGAGGGAGAGAGGGAGGGAGGGAGGGGGGCCGGGGACGAGTGCTTAGTGCAGGACAGACCTGCACCTGGTGAGAACACTGTCTCTGTGGCCGACAGCCCGGGAACCAGGACAAGGTTGCTGCTCTGCATCAAAGGCTCCCATTCTGTGAAATGAAGGCTCATATTTATTTATTTATTTGTTTGTTTATTTATTTTAAAGAGGAGTTGTTTTAAGGAATGGAAAACCTTACGTGTAGCTCCAGGGACATAGTTACAGGTCTGTGGTATCCAGAGGAGGTCTTAAAGGTAGAGGTGATCCTTTAGACCTGGGAAAGGAAAAAAAGACTTGATTGAGGGAATAACACCTGAACTGAGCATAGAATGATGAGCCGGTCTCTTGTGCAGACAAGAGGCAGGTGGGTTTGGAAGGGAGGGTAGCTGAGGAGAGAAGACATTGCAAGCAGAGAGGATATGGGAGATCAAAAATGCTCCAATAGTGAGTTTAGGCTGAACGGTAACCCCCAAATCTCAGTGGCTTATGACAGCCAAAGTTTATTTCTCACTTATGCTGCATGTGCGACGTAGATCAATTATGTTTGTGTTTCTGATCTGTTTTCACTCTGCGACCCACTGAGGCTTAAAAACCAGCTTCTTTCTGGGATGATACCTCACTTATGGTAAAGGGAAAAAAAGAGCACAGGGCAGAGCAAATACAACACTTAATGTCTGCTCAGAAGCAGATGGCACTTCAGCTTTTTTGCTATTGGCCAAAGTCAGTCACATGGCCAAAGCTCCTGTCAGTGGTATGGGAAAATATAAACCTCCTGCAGACAGTAAGATGTGGCCAAGTAGGAGGGAAAGTGCAGAAGAAAAACAAGGCCGGGGAAGTGGCCTAGAGGCAGATGATGAAAGGCCTGGGTCTTTTGCTAGGGGATTGGGACTGTATCTTAGGGGCGGGGAGCAACCACCGAAGGGTTTTAATTGGGTATCAACATCAGATTTGAAGGTGGAGTATCTCTAGTGGCAATGTGGTGAGATTGAAGCGGGTGGGACTAGAGGGCCAAGATGATGAGGGCCCGAACTAATACAGCTGCCTCCTGTCTCTCATTGTCACATGACTTCTGATTCCACTGCTGGAAAATGACTCAGTTGGCACTCGAGTGGCTTGTCTTGTTTACAAGTCCTCTCCGAAAATGCACATGTTCTCTCATCTGAGAGTCACTCTTTTGTAATATTATCTAAAGCCAGCAGTTCACTAACTTTACTGTGCATCAGAATCACCTGTAGGATCACCTGAGCGAAAGCACAGTCACCGGGGCCTCACCCCTAGAGCTTCTGAATCAGTGGGTCTCTTGTGGGCCTGGGAACTCGCATTTCTGAGAAGTGCTCAGGTGATGCCGATGCTGCTGGTCCAGAGGCCACACTGTGAAAACTACAGAACTAAAAGGAGAAATTAAGACATGGCAGAGGGAAAGACCTGAATAGAAGGGCCTAGTGGAAGGAGGAAAAAGTCTGGAAGGTCCCAGCATCCCATGGGGCACATTTGCTGAAGGCCGTCTCCAGCAATGAGCAGTGTGGTAAGAGTGACAGTCACTAGGAGCATATTAAATTTCAAATGCAATTCTCATAGTGAGGAAATGAAAAAAAGCTTGAATTCATGGACTTTGAATACAAGAAGAGGACAAGTGCTGCTTTCATCCCCTCCCTTTGTCATTCTGCCCTGACTCCCCATGCTGTCACTGGGCGCACACCCTTTCGCCTGGAATACACCCGAGCCTGTCAGTGTATTCCAGTCCTGACCCATCACACTTGTTGCCGTCCTTGTGTTAATTTCTGGGGCTGGGTTAGCCCACTGGGTGGACTTTTGGCTGAATATTGAGAAAGTCAGACTAAGGAATTTCTCACTTCACTTGGGGTCACCTTCCTGAATCAACATGTGTACCATGTGATTATGCAAATCGTGATCAACACCCCCAGGATAAATAATTCCATGAGAAACCACGGTCTTCCTTGGTTTAGCGGATACCAATGGATGGAACAAGTCCCAACAATTCTCTTAACTGTGACTCACCACTTCTGTAATGAGAGAGCATTCCAAGAATGAACGTTAAGGAGAAAATATGTTGGTGTGTGCAACATGACACAAGAAATAAAACATAGTGAGGATTTGTTTCCTTTTTACTGTATTCTTCTCAATCCTGGCTGTGGCAAAAGTTTGAACTCTACGAGGGCACAGATAATCAGTGATATGCCTGCCCAGCAGACACCATGTGAATGCATGAAATACTTTGAGGGTCAACATTATTTTGAGGGCCAGTTAGCAGCTTGAAACATCATTTGTTTCATGGTGGGGTGAGTGCAAATTGGAATATTGGAGTGTGGATAGAATATACTAGAAATTCTATGCATGTTAAATTTGTATAAAATAAGGCATGTCTTGGTGGGCCCAAGCTGTAAAATGAAATGAACAAGATTTGAAAAGAGCCTTTTCCTGTTGAGATTTGACAGAGAAATAACACCTTAAAGGTGTGCACTTTGAGGCAGGAAAATTCCGTAGCACTCTGCATACCTCCAGAGGTGGGTGAGATAGCTGTGCCGGAGGCCTGAGGCCCACTCTCTTGATCACATGCCTGTTTCCCTCTGGGGGTAATTTTGCATGATGTTTTTCCTCCTCCTTCAGGCTTGGCCTTAGTGGTACCTTCTTTTAATCAGTTCTGCAGTGAACGACCATGGTCCCCCAATCTCAGGTCTCCAGGAAACTTAGTCTGAAAAGTTTTAAAAGATGCAGCAACTACAACTCTAGACAGGAGAGAGAGGCAGTGAGGGAAAGGACTCCAACACTAGCCACGAGGGATTAAACATGCTGAACACAGTCATCAGAAAGTGTTGCAATTCCCTGTTGGGTAGCATTTATCCCGCAATTTGATATGTAAGAAATATATATATCAAGTCACCAGATAAATGGTATCCTTTCTATATGTCTATATTGAACAAATAACTATCATGTATTTTTTTCCATCTCTGGCAATTTCAGGAGGAAGGTTTTTCGTGCTATAGCTGTTTTCCTGAAATGCGATGACGTAGAAACAGTTGGCCAG